TATCTATCTATCTATCTATCTATCTATCTATCTATCTATCTATCTATCTATCTATCTATCTATCTATCTATCTATCTATCTATATATATATATATAATTTTTCCCTTTGATGTATCATGTTTTTTTATGTAAAAAGGCTGATAAAACCTATTGATATTGGGTAACAGTGTTGGCATTTTAGACTTCCTCACCTCTCTCCGTTGGGTTTGATAGCTTGTGCTTGGTGAGCTGTTTTTCATGCAGAGGAATCGTCTGTTTATGTGCACAACAGGGGTCAAAGCCACAATAAAGAATGTGTGAATTAAAAAAAATTTAACAGCAGATTAAGAAAGGAGAGCGGCTCACATGATGAAAGGTTGTGAGTTGTTTCAGAGGGAAGTGGCAAAGCAGCACTTTTCAAGGGAGGGAAAAAAAATCTAATATGGGCTTATCTAAGAGCACAACTTTGAGGCTGTCTGCGAGGTTATTGAGAGGAAGCCTTGTCACTTTGTCGGCTGGCTTGTAGCGTCGCAGCAGAAGAAACACAGGGACCAAGCTGTATGGAGGCAATACTGTTTTCATTAATATAACATGAACCTCTCTGCACTGACATTTCATCTGTATGAGTCAGAGTTTGGCACAGGTTTCTCTAAAAACAAGAGAGGAAACATGTAGACACTTGAGATTTTCATCAGATTTACAAAGAGCGCAGGGCCCCTGTGGAGGAAGCTACAGTGCAGACTGGGGGCCCGCGCTCTTAAATTGCAAGGCTTGGAAAAGTGAAAGAGTAATGCCTGGCTCTTTGTAAACTGTCTGGCGTCTCCCTGGGTTCAACCAGAGTTCGTTTCCAAAAAGAAGAACAAAGTGACTTGGACCTTTTCCTGGCTTTTCCCCCCTTTGCCTCTCCACTCATCCCACCGTTCTTGGCAACCAGGCTTCTGACAGGAGAAAGGCTCCCGTCAGACTGCAAATTGTCCTCCCCTCTGCTTAGTACCAAGTTTGGAAATGAACATGTTTCAAAACAGCTTCTATTTTTTCCATTATTGCTTTGCTCTTCTTTTCTGTTTTACTCAGCGAACACTCACCAATCTTCTGATGTCTTCCACAGCTTTATGAAGACAAAAAAGCATTTAGAATGTATGAATAACATAAACACCCCCACTCACACATGCACTCACTCCTAGAGATGACTAGAAAATATAAAAATCCACCCTGTCTGGGTTTGAAGAGCTGAGCCGCGGCTCATCTTCGCCTATAGGAGGTTTGTGCAGACGAAACTGAAAATCCTTTCACTGCAGTGACAGAGAAAATGACTCAAACCTTCACCATGGCATTTACAGCCAAATGTGCTGAGTGCAGTGTATGCGAGTGGAGTACAGCCTGTAATTTGTCAAGACTTTTTTTATTTTCTTTATAAAGAGTCAGCTTCTCCTTGCTTTTTACATTGTTGCAGTCAGAGCATCTCCGAGATAAGATGACGAGCCCAGCCGCTCCGGTTCAACCTTTTACCAAAGACATGATAAGTCTCTCCACATTAGTGATTGTTTGCTTCACATATGAGCCGTGCGCACCTCTTCTTTGCGCTGTGTTGGCGGCGTGAGTGTTGACAGCAGCAATATGGGTCATTGCCGCAGTGAGGTGTCCATTGGCAGGCAGCTGACAAACAAAACGGGAGTGCATGCCAATAGCAGACAGAGGAGGGCCCTAACTGATGACCCTGCGCCACCTTGCTCCCCTTTTGATTTGTGCAGGGGTCGTTGCTGTGTCACCGCGTTGGAGTATTTAGCAAGCTTAAACAAGCTCAGGTCCACATGCCTGACTTATGGAAAACCAATGGCAAAGGCTTGTGTTACCTCGCATAGAGATGTTCATTTTGGAAGCTGAGATTGTGTTTCACAGAAACATCTTCCTCCCACCTCCTGAGACCTCATTTTAGACCATTAGCGTTACAGGTAAAGTTAAAGAAAGCACTTGGTGTTTGGCTTTTTTTTTACGTTTTTTACTGTGCTTTCCTTCATGTCCTGTATCTAGGGCTGGAAAGCGTCTTTGTTTGCTTGGAACCATTACGCCGAGGGAAACTGGCACGTACAGGTTGACTAAGTAAGAGAAGCCAGACACCAAGTCGGTGTTTCTGGGAGTCAAATTTCAGGCCAACTCACCCCACCCTCCTCCTCCCCCCACACACACCAGTTTCTTCCTATCTGCGGGGCCTGGGACTCTTTTTCTTTCGTCAGGCCTTTCTGTGTGAGCAGCCTCACATTACATCCATGCAGACTTGGGTCAGATGGAGAGCTCCTGCATGACTAATGTGATCAGACGGATAATGCATTACACCGCTTGAACTTATCAAAGCTAGAGACCTGCTGAATCAGTCTGTCCTGCTAACAGCAACCCTCCCAGAGCCTGCACTGGATAATTGGGCATCACATTTGAGATATTCACAGCCATCAGGACGTTTTAAAGGTTTCTTAAAGGAATAAGAATTCAAGAGAAAATATTCCGAAAATTTTCGGCATGAAGCAGACGAGAGCTGCTATCGTTGAACGGTATGCTGTAGGTGTAGACTTCTCACAGATAGGGAAGAAAGGCAAGGTTTGATTAAGTTAGTTTGAAAAACAGTTAAAAGTAAAGATTTGGTAAAACAGTCCCATTAATTTTTTTTATATCCTTTGAATAATCCAGTGAGCTGAAGATCAAATTTTAATGTTGAGGCAACCCATACATAACATTAAGACATGAGGAAACCTTAATAACACCTTCTAAAAGTGGTGTAAGCTCAGCTTTAGGGTAGAAAGATCTTCATAAATAATCTGTAAACCATGCAAAAAGATCCGGAAGTATGTACTGAAAACTAAGGGCAGCTTAATTCAATTTAGTATGAATAAATTATATCCTGTTTTAAAGCAATAGTGTGGTCTAATATTCATTTATTAAAAAATATTTTTTCTTTTTTATTTGGGAGGTAAAAAAAGATGTGTATAGTTGTAAATATAGTATATTTGTACCGTACTTGTGGAAGTAACCATACATTTTTAATCAGTAGTTTTATTAAACATTGAAGCTGTAGGGTAGAGTACTGACAAGGCTTTTTCCTCATGGATGAAGTTATGCTTTCATAAAAACAACATGACAGCCATTCTTGAATAAAAATAATTTCTTTAAAAAAAAGGTTTAGGCTCCAGTGGCCTTTATTGCAGATACCGCCTGGACAGGAAACAGGAATGAGAAAGAAGGGAGAGTGACCTACTGCAAAGGCCTGTAGGTCAGCATTGAAATCTGGTACAGCTAGATGAAGGTCCAAGATTATGATCTGGATCATCACCAAAACTGAGTGGACTGTTCCTTGGCACGATGCACACCTCTGATAAAAAAAATAATTAGAATCTAGAACTTTTCAAGCTATACCGTACACAAACAGACAAACACACACTCACAAAACCTCTCCTAAGAATATAACCTCGGTGGCAGATAGATACAATAGATTACCTTACCCAACACCTGCCTACTGCTGCTCACTGCTGGACAGCTGACTGAAACAAGACTCCAATAACTCACTTACAAAGTCAAATGCAGTTTTTGGTAGTATTTCTAGCTGAATATACAATAAGATGTCTCTCTCTTACTCTCTATCCATCTATAAGAATGCAGACTTTAAATTATATATATATATATATATATATATATATATATATATATATATATATAT